TGAAATAACTGTCCATAAACTGAGATCTAGGAGCATAAAGCGTGTTGTGGAAACACTTATTGAGAAAGAAAGTGATTTGCAAAAACCTCTTGGTGTAAGCATTGCAAGAGATGCAACACAATGCAGGGATTCCACAGCAGAGCAGAATCTGGAGGAATCACCGGATAGACATCTGCAATCTGGAACTGACTCTAGCAATCCAGAAGGACAAAAACATGGACCGGATACAGGTACTAAAATGGGAACAGGAACCAGCAAACAGAGCAGCACACAGGTAAATGAACAACAACAACCTGCAACAAGCGGGAATTTGTTTTCAAATGTAGCAAGATCAAGGGGAGATGTATCTAAGCGGAAGAATGCAGTGCGCCTGTTGTTCACAGGACCAGAACCTGATATTCCAGACAGAATATTCATTGGTCGTAAACTCTTAATGGAATTCATGGGTTTTTCTGCAAGTGAAATATTTGCATTTATTCACTTTCCTGGATCAAGACAATTTGACATTAGTTTTAAACTAATGCAGAACCTGGATATGTTTTGGGTGATTTTCCATAGGACAAAATCAGATGGTATCTGGAAAAATATAAAAGCTATCCCACTCACAAAACAGGCCACAGTGTCTATCAATCTCCAGTTCCAGACAGAAGTAGTGGCTTTAAATGACATAATGTATTGGATAAAGAGACACTGTACAGTTGTGAGTGACCCACAAAAGATTTATGATGAGATTGGGCTATGGAATGGTGGATGGAAACTGCAAGTTAAACTGTGGCAGACAGGGGGCGTTACTCATCATTTACCACACAGTTTTTTTATTGGTACGGACAGAGGCATTTGCTATTATCCAGGACAGCCTAGAAGCTGTTATAAATGTGGGTCAATAAGGCATTTGGCCTATTGCTGTGATAAAATAAAGTGCTCTCAATGTAACTGTCTGGGCCATATGAGATCAGAATGCAAGCAGGACGTAATATGCAACTTATGTTCTGTACAAGGTCATACCTTTAGAGAGTGCCCAGAAGCACACCATAATAAGATAAACGACTGTGTGCTAGATTTGGAAAGCATACTTACTGAAGCAATGGAAGAGCCCAATACAACTGAGAAACAAGATACAAATGAGCCACAGAAAGATGACATTACTGAGCCAGAAAACATCTTAAGGAAAGACGCCAAGGAAATACAATCTCCATTAAATGTTGAAAAGGGTCCAATATTAGAAAAAAACAGTGAGGAATTTCAGTTGGTGCAAGGAAAACACAAGAAGAAATTAAAATATTCAGGTACTCGTGAGTCACAAAAACCTCCTCAGATGCTTTCGTCATTTGAGATAACTGCTGGTCGCTATGCTATCCTGGATGAACCTAGTGAAGATGCCATGGAGTTTAAACAGAGTGAAGGATCTCTCTGGAAAAGGCGATCCACAGAGGAATTGCAGTTGTTCTGTGAAGAAGAAGCAACTGCCTCTGTTTCAATAAAACGATGGGGATCTCAAGGTGACAATATAGGAGCAGTAAAGAAGAAGCGCTGAGTCTCCTTGGTTTTCATGACTTTACATATATGCTCGCTTAATGTCAACAGTTTGAGATCAAAAGAGAGAAGAGACTTACTCTATACTGTTCTGAAAGAACAATCATTTGATGTGTGTTTATTACAGGAGACAAGATTAAGAAATAATAGCCAGGTTTTTTGTGCTAAAAGAGAGTGGACAATGGGCCCATCTTATTGGTCATTTGGACTGGAAAGTTATGATGGTGTGGGTATTTTGTTTAAGAACTGTGATTTTCAAATTGATCGGATTGTGGAAATTGTTGCAGGTAGATGCCTTTTGTTAGATTTTACGCTTAATGATGTGAGATATCGAATAATTAATATATATGCTCCTCAGATAATAGCAGGTAGGAAAAAAGTGTTTTTAAGTGTAAAACCATATTGTTTCACATCCAAAGTGTTAATTATGGGAGGTGATTTTAACGGTGTGGTAAATAATGAAGATCGAAATAGTAATTATAAAAATTTAAAATATGATGAAAACTTTCTAAAAACTCTGATCAGTCAAGCTGGTCTGATTGATACTTTTAAATATAATTATCCTACACAGCGAGGGTTTACATATCATAAAGGGAGGTGGGCAAGTCGTATAGATAGACTTTATGTAAAAAATCAAACTTCATCTTTTAGATATAATTTAGTCTTGGTAGAGTTTTCAGATCATGATATGATTAGTCTGTCCTTAAAGGTAAAGGAAGGAATAATATATGGGAAAGGTATCTGGAAACTAAACTCAAGAATACTTGATAATGATAAAGTTAAGCAAGAATTCATTACTTTTTATGAAGATCGAAAAACCACGCAGTGCTTATACGACACGATGTCGAGTTGGTGGGAACAAACAAAAAAAGATATTAAAAGTTTTTTTAAATCAAAAGCTAGAAAAGAAGGAAATCGTCAATATATACAATATCTTGCTCTAAGACTTAGACTTAGTAGATTATATTTCTTGGTCAATAATGGTGAGACTGTGAATTCAAATAGCATTAATCAAGTTAAGGATAAAATGAAAAAACTTCAATATGACCGTATGATCTCTCTAAAAGCTGAAAATGAATTTGATAGTTGGGGTTTCACAGCCCCAGATCCTTTTCAAGCGTGTAAGGAAAGAGTATGTAAGAAAGCCATAGCAGGACTGGTAGATCAAGATGGTGAAACACAAACAGAAAGTAAGGACATTATAAATATTGTCACAAAATATTTTAAACAATTGTTTGCAAGACAGCCTATTGCAAATGAAAATATTGTAAAATATTTGCAAGATGTTGATAATCCGGTATTAAATGCAGTGGATGCTGAGACCATGGTTAAGCCTATAACAGAGGAAGAAGTTAGAAATAGCATTCAATCATTAGTTGGGAAGAAAAGTCCAGGATTGGATGGGATAACTGCAGAGTTTTATAAAGTGTTTTTAGATCTTTTGGTAACGGATCTTGTAATGCTATATAATGAAGTGCTAACTCTGGGACAGTTGCCGCCCTCACAGTATGCCTCAGTCTTGGTACTTTTAGCTAAAAGTGGTAATTTGAATGAACTAAGGAACTGGCGTCCGTTATCATTATTGAATACTGATTACAAAATTCTTGCAAAAGTCATGTTTATGAGGCTTAGTGCAGTGGCTGAAATTTTGGTAAGTCCGTGTCAGTCGTGTGCAGTTAAGAATCGTAGCATACAGGATACACTGTTGCTAGTAAGAGAGGTGGTGGAATACGCTAAGCAGCAGAGAGAAGGTATTTATTTGGTAGGACTAGACCAGTCCAAAGCATTTGACCGAGTACATCATGAATTTTTATTTGAGACTTTACGGAGATATGGCATTCCTAATACTTTTATTAAATGGTTGAAGATATTATATAAAGAAGCAATATGTTTCCCTTTAATTAATGGTAGTTTGGGAGACCCTTTTCAGGTTGAATCTGGAGTTCGTCAGGGTTGTCCTATAAGTCCTTTGCTTTATGTTTTTAGCATTGACCCTCTATTAAGGAAAATAAAAGGAAACCATAATTTTCAAGGCCTAGAAGTGAAAGTAGAAGGTGTTTCCGAGAGAGTCAAAGTTTGTGCTTATGCAGATGATATTTCTGTTTTTTTGAAATCAGAAGCAGATAACCAATTGTTACAAAGGGAACTTAAAAGTTATTCTCAAATTTCCAACTCTATGGTTAATATGGAGAAGAGTGAAGCATTGTGGCTGGGGGATAATGCAGAAGCTTTTCAAATCCCTTTTAAAAGAAAGGATAAAACAATCAAAGTGTTGGGTATTACATATGGATGTGTTGAAGACATTGCCCAGAGAAATTGGGATGATAAATTTAAAATATTCTCAGATAAAATACACAAATGGAAAAATTGGAAATGGTCTTACCAAAAGAAAATTCAAGCTATCAAACGATTTTTATTCCCCATTTTTATTTATACAAGTTTTGTCTTTCCATTACCTGATCAATTAGTGGTTAAGATAACCGGTTTGTTGTTCCAGCTAATATGGGGTAATCGTTTAAATATTGTTAAACGTAACATTTCCTATCTCCATAGGAAAGATGGAGGATTAGGCATGTTGTGTCCAGAACTTTTTTACAATCTCTTGTTTATAACCAAGAATTTAAGTTTTTTTAAATCTGGTAGAACAGATTTATGGGGAATCTTATATAAAAACCAAATTAATCACTTTGTTGGAGTTTGGACAAGAGGTGTAAAGATCAAAAGATTGTCTGGTAAGGTTAAACATTGCTCTCTATATGCTCAGCAATGTATAAAGTTGTTGCTGAGATGGCAAATTTCATATGAAGATATCACTGGGCTAGATAGAAAACAATTATATCATGTTCTGTTAAATAAGTACTATAGTGCCCAGTTGGTTTTAAAAGACTGCCCTAATACCTTAATGAAAAAAGCCATTCAGAATGTTAATAGCACGAGAATACCAATTAAATTGAGAGATGTTATTTGGCTTAGTTTTCAAGGAAAATTATACGTTCGCTCTAATTTGAAATTTAAAAAACTTGAGGAACGAAATTGTCCGAGGGAAGAATGTTCAGGGATATTAGAAACAATGTCTCATTTTTTGTGTGACTGTCCTTTTAGTTTAGCAATATGGTCAGAAATGTCCACACTTCTTAAAATACCAAATTTTAAAGGACAGTCCTATGCTGAATTAGTATATGGAAATTTCAATTGGGCAGATAAGATTAACAAATGCACTTTATATGTAATTAATTGTATTGTTATATATCACTTATGGCAAGCGAGGTGTTTAAAATCATCAAAACAAATTATTTTAACTACGGACTCTGTGATTAATCGGATAATTAAAGACATAAAAGATGTATATGTAAAAGAACAAACGACAGATTGTTGGGAAAATATAGACATGACCTTTTGTTTTTAATTGTATTTTTGTATATGTTTTTGATACATTGAACACTGTTTTGTAATTTGTTGTAAGAAAATTTAATAAAAAAATTTCCTCCTATTACTCCATATAACCTCTCTCTATAACTCCTCCTATTACTCCATATATACTCTCACTATAACTCCTCCTATTACTCCATATAACCTCTCACTATAACTCCTCCTATTACTCCATATAGCCTCTACCTATAACTCATCCTATTACTCCATATAACCTCTCTCTATAACTCCTCCTATTACTCCATATAACCTCTCCCTATAACTCCTCCTATTACTCCATATAACCTCTCTCTATAACTCCTCCTATTACTCCATATAACCTCTCCCTATAACTCCTCCTATTACTCCATATAACCTCTCCCTATAACTCCTATGTGTTGGAGCTCCTGTAGGGGGACTGAGGATGGCCTCAGACCCAGGGGGGAGTGTTGGTGTTCTGGATACTAGTCCAGCTCTAGTCCCAGGCCTGGAGGTGTTGGAAGGCCAAGAAGCCCAAACAAACGAAAGGAGACCTGTTAAGGAAAGTTTAATTAGTAAAGCTTTGACGGTTTTGGACAAAAAACTGGGAGATGCTTCTGCTAATTATCAGACTTTATGTGCAATGTATGATGATTTGTACAAGCAGAAGCAAGATTTGGTAAAGAAAGTGGATGAAGTAACCCAGGAATCTGAGAGAACAGGTTTTCTGCAGCAGATTGATCAGATCCAGGTGGAGATCGACTCCCTACAAACGGCAATGGATGTAAAAGAGCAAAGCATTGAAAAACTGAAAAGTGCAATAAAAGGTGAGGAAAGAAAATGTTATAAAATGCAAAAGTTAAACCCATTAAAGATTAAGAAGGTACCCACACAACCGCTAAAAGACAAGCAAGTAGGGGTAATGATAAAGAAATTAAGTGATAAAATGTGCCCAGTGACTTTACCTGCTCAAACAGGAGAGGCTGCTGCTGAATGTAAACCTGAGAGTTCACCTGGGTGCAATAAACCAGCAGCCCTCAGCATTGCCATACCTGAATGCTTAAATGAAATAACTGTCCATAAACTGAGATCTAGGAGCATAAAGCGTGTTGTGGAAACACTTATTGAGAAAGAAAGTGATTTGCAAAAACCTCTTGGTGTAAGCATTGCAAGAGATGCAACACAATGCAGGGATTCCACAGCAGAGCAGAATCTGGAGGAATCACCGGATAGACATCTGCAATCTGGAACTGGCTCTAGCAATCCAGAAGGACAAAAACATGGACCGGATACAGGTACTAAAATGGGAACAGGAACCAGCAAACAGAGCAGCACACAGGTAAATGAACAACAACCTGCAACAAGCGGGAATTTGTTTTCAAATGTAGCAAGATCAAGGGGAGATGTATCTAAGCGGAAGAATGCAGTGCGCCTGTTGTTCACAGGACCAGAACCTGATATTCCAGACAGAATATTCATTGGTCGCAAACTCTTAATGGAATTCATGGGTTTTTCTGCAAGTGAAATATTTGCATTTATTCACTTTCCTGGATCAAGACAATTTGACATTAGTTTTAAACTAATGCAGAACCTGGATATGTTTTGGGTGATTTTCCATAGGACAAAATCAGATGGTATCTGGAAAAATATAAAAGCTATCCCACTCACAAAACAGGCCACAGTGTCTATCAATCTCCAGTTCCAGACAGAAGTAGTGGCTTTAAATGACATAATGTATTGGATAAAGAGACACTGTACAGTTGTGAGTGACCCACAAAAGATTTATGATGAGATTGGGCTATGGAATGGTGGATGGAAACTGCAAGTTAAACTGTGGCAGACAGGGGGCGTTACTCATCATTTACCACACAGTTTTTTTATTGGTACGGACAGAGGCATTTGCTATTATCCAGGACAGCCTAGAAGCTGTTATAAATGTGGGTCAACAAGGCATTTGGCCTATTGCTGTGATAAAATAAAGTGCTCTCAATGTAACTGTCTGGGCCATATGAGATCAGAATGCAAGCAGGACGTAATATGCAACTTATGTTCTGTACAAGGTCATACCTTTAGAGAGTGCCCAGAAGCACACCATAATAAGATAAACGACTGTGTGCTAGATTTGGAAAGCATACTTACTGAAGCAATGGAAGAGCCCAATACAACTGAGAAACAAGATACAAATGAGCCACAGAAAGATGACATTACTGAGCCAGAAAACATCTTAAGGAAAGACGCCAAGGAAATACAATCTCCATTAAATGTTGAAAAGGGTCCAATATTAGAAAAAAACAGTGAGGAATTTCAGTTGGTGCAAGGAAAACACAAGAAGAAATTAAAATATTCAGGTACTCGTGAGTCACAAAAACCTCCTCAGATGCTTTCGTCATTTGAGATAACTGCTGGTCGCTATGCTATCCTGGATGAACCTAGTGAAGATGCCATGGAGTTTAAACAGAGTGAAGGATCTCTCTGGAAAAGGCGATCCACAGAGGAATTGCAGTTGTTCTGTGAAGAAGAAGCAACTGCCTCTGTTTCAATAAAACGATGGGGATCTCAAGGTGACAATATAGGAGCAGTAAAGAAGAAGCACTGAGTCTCCTTGGTTTTCATGACTTTACATATATGCTCGCTTAATGTCAACAGTTTGAGATCAAAAGAGAGAAGAGACTTACTCTATACTGTTCTGAAAGAACAATCATTTGATGTGTGTTTATTACAGGAGACAAGATTAAGAAATAATAGCCAGGTTTTTTGTGCTAAAAGAGAGTGGACAATGGGCCCATCTTATTGGTCATTTGGACTGGAAAGTTATGATGGTGTGGGTATTTTGTTTAAGAACTGTGATTTTCAAATTGATCGGATTGTGGAAATTGTTGCAGGTAGATGCCTTTTGTTAGATTTTACGCTTAATGATGTGAGATATCGAATAATTAATATATATGCTCCTCAGATAATAGCAGGTAGGAAAAAAGTGTTTTTAAGTGTAAAACCATATTGTTTCACATCCAAAGTGTTAATTATGGGAGGTGATTTTAACGGTGTGGTAAATAATGAAGATCGAAATAGTAATTATAAAAATTTAAAATATGATGAAAACTTTCTAAAAACTCTGATCAGTCAAGCTGGTCTGATTGATACTTTTAAATATAATTATCCTACACAGCGAGGGTTTACATATCATAAAGGGAGGTGGGCAAGTCGTATAGATAGACTCTATGTAAAAAATCAAACTTCATCTTTTAGATATAATTTAGTCTTGGTAGAGTTTTCAGATCATGATATGATTAGTCTGTCCTTAAAGGTAAAGGAAGGAATAATATATGGGAAAGGTATCTGGAAACTAAACTCAAGAATACTTGATAATGATAAAGTTAAGCAAGAATTCATTACTTTTTATGAAGATCGAAAAACCACGCAGTGCTTATACAACACGATGTTGAGTTGGTGGGAACAAACAAAAAAAGATATTAAAAGTTTTTTTAAATCAAAAGCTAGAAAAGAAGGAAATCGTCAATATATGCAATATCTTGCTCTAAGACTTAGACTTAGTAGATTATATTCCTTGGTCAATAATGGTGAGACAGTGAATTCAAATAGCATTAATCAAGTTAAGGATAAAATGAAAAAACTTCAATATGACCGTATGATCTCTCTAAAAGCTGAAAATGAATTCGATAGTTGGGGTTTCACAGCCCCAGATCCTTTTCAAGCGTGTAAGGAAAGAGTATGTAAGAAAGCCATAGCAGGACTGGTAGATCAAGATGGTGAAACACAAACAGAAAGTAAGGACATTATAAATATTGTCACAAAATATTTTAAACAATTGTTTGCAAGACAGCCTATTGCAAATGAAAATATTGTAAAATATTTGCAAGATGTTGATAATCCGGTATTAAATGCAGTGGATGCTGAGACCATGGTTAAGCCTATAACAGAGGAAGAAGTTAGAAATAGCATTCAATCATTAGTTGGGAAGAAAAGTCCAGGATTGGATGGGATAACTGCAGAGTTTTATAAAGTGTTTTTAGATCTTTTGGTAACGGATCTTGTAATGCTATATAATGAAGTGCTAACTCTGGGACAGTTGCCGCCCTCACAGTATGCCTCAGTCTTGGTACTTTTAGCTAAAAGTGGTAATTTGAATGAACTAAAGAACTGGCGTCCGTTATCATTATTGAATACTGATTACAAAATTCTTGCAAAAGTCATGTTTATGAGGCTTAGTGCGGTGGCTGAAATTTTGGTAAGTCCGTGTCAGTCGTGTGCAGTTAAGAATCGTAGCATACAGGATACACTGTTGCTAGTAAGAGAGGTGGTGGAATACGCTAAGCAGCAGAGAGAAGGTATTTATTTGGTAGGACTAGACCAGTCCAAAGCATTTGACCGAGTACATCATGAATTTTTATTTGAGACTTTACGGAGATATGGCATTCCTAATACTTTTATTAAATGGTTGAAGATATTATATAAAGAAGCAATATGTTTCCCTTTAATTAATGGTAGTTTGGGAGACCCTTTTCAGGTTGAATCTGGAGTTCGTCAGGGTTGTCCTATAAGTCCTTTGCTTTATGTTTTTAGCATTGACCCTCTATTAAGGAAAATAAAAGGAAACCATAATTTTCAAGGCCTAGAAGTGAAAGTAGAAGGTGTTTCCGAGAGAGTCAAAGTTTGTGCTTATGCAGATGATATTTCTGTTTTTTTGAAATCAGAAGCAGATAACCAATTGTTACAAAGGGAACTTAAAAGTTATTCTCAAATTTCCAACTCTATGGTTAATATGGAGAAGAGTGAAGCATTGTGGCTGGGGGATAATGCAGAAGCTTTTCAAATCCCTTTTAAAAGAAAGGATAAAACAATCAAAGTGTTGGGTATTACATATGGATGTGTTGAAGACATTGCCCAGAGAAATTGGGATGATAAATTTAAAATATTCTCAGATAAAATACACAAATGGAAAAATTGGAAATGGTCTTACCAAAAGAAAATTCAAGCTATCAAACGATTTTTATTCCCCATTTTTATTTATACAAGTTTTGTCTTTCCATTACCTGATCAATTAGTGGTTAAGATAACCGGTTTGTTGTTCCAGCTAATATGGGGTAATCGGGGTAATCGGTTAAACGTAACATTTCCTATCTCCATAGGAAAGATGGAGGATTAGGCATGTTGTGTCCAGAACTTTTTTACAATCTCTTGTTTATAACCAAGAATTTAAGTTTTTTTAAATCTGGTAGAACAGATTTATGGGGAATCTTATATAAAAACCAAATTAATCACTTTGTTGGAGTTTGGACAAGAGGTGTAAAGATCAAAAGATTGTTTGGTAAGGTTAAACATTGCTCTCTATATGCTCAGCAATGTATAAAGTTGTTGCTGAGATGGCAAATTTCATATGAAGATATCACTGGGCTAGATAGAAAACAATTATATCATGTTCTGTTAAATAAGTACTATAGTGCCCAGTTGGTTTTAAAAGACTGCCCTAATACCTTAATGAAAAAAGCCATTCAGAATGTTAATAGCACGAGAATACCAATTAAATTGAGAGATGTTATTTGGCTTAGTTTTCAAGGAAAATTATACGTTCGCTCTAATTTGAAATTTAAAAAACTTGAGGAACGAAATTGTCCGAGGGAAGAATGTTCAGGGATATTAGAAACAATGTCTCATTTTTTGTGTGACTGTCCCTTTAGTTTAGCAATATGGTCAGAAATGTCCACACTTCTTAAAATATCAAATTTTAAAGGACAGTCCTATGCTGAATTAGTATATGGAAATTTCAATTGGGCAGATAAGATTAACAAATGCACTTTATATGTAATTAATTGTATTGTTATATATCATTTATGGCAAGCGAGGTGTTTAAAATCATCAAAACAAATTATTTTAACTACGGACTCTGTGATTAATCGGATAATTAAAGACATAAAAGATGTATATGTAAAAGAACAAAATACAGATTGTTGGGAAAATATAGACATGACATTTTGTTTTTAATTGTATTTTTGTATATGTTTTTGATACATTGAACACTGTTTTGTAATTTGTTGTAAGAAAATTTAATAAAAAAATTTCCTCCTATTACTCCATATAGCCTCTACCTATAACTTATCCTATTACTCCATATAACCTCTCTCTATAACTCCTCCTATTACTCTATATATCCTCTCCCTATAACTCCTCCTATTACTCCATATAACCTCTCTCTATAACTCCTCCTATTACTCTATATATCCTCTCCCTATAACTCCTCCTATTACTCCATATAACCTCTCTCTATAACTCCTCCTATTACTCCATATAACCTCTCTCTATAACTCCTCCTATTACTCTATATAACCTCTCTCTATAACTCATCCTATTACTCCATATAACCTCTCCCTATAACTCCTCCTATTACTCCATTTAACCTCTCTCTATAACTCATCCTATTACTCCATATAACCTCTCTATAACCCCTCCTATTACTCCATATACCCTCTCCCTATAATAATAATAATAATAATGATATATATTGTAATTAATGTAGATCAGCGATACATTCCATTCCACTCAGTCTCCTCCCAGGTGTCACTCAGTCTGTGCTGCTCTTACTGTTTGTCCCTCTCCCAATTCACGCTCTCTCTCTGTCTCTGTCTCTAAGTGATAGTTTCCAAGGGGATTTTGTGTTGTAGCAACTTGTCCACTTCCTCGGGTCCTATAAGACAGGATGCAAGACAAGTGCAAAAAGAAACAAAATATTAGAAATGGCAATTCTGGGTAACTCCAGTAACTCATTCTTCATATAGCACTGAGGGGAAGGGGTGACTGTCATATTGGGGGAGAGATCCTGATCACCTTCTGCTCTGGACATTGTAAGCGAGAAACCAGGAAACGGAGAGGAAAGGGTTACAGCCCCGGCTGGAGATTTAAGGAAATAGGTGTGGGGGAGGAGAGCCGTGAACCCAATTAACCTGCACCTTGTACCCATGCTGGCCACCTTCCCAAAGGTGAGTGAGGAGTGACCACTGGTTGCTATTTGATGAAGGCTGAGGGGGAGGGGTGTGTGTGTTTGGGATGGGAGGGTAACTGAAACGCTTACCTCACTAGGATACTGTCCATGGCTTGGGGGACAGTGATTATTTACTAGGATACGGTGTAAGGATCAGATCATAGATAATAGACAGGAATCACTACTTCACAGCACTGCTGCAGTATCGCTTACATAGGACAGAGCGCAGGTCAGGCAGGTGTATATGACTAGGACAGTCCGTCGGTGACTTTCTACAACAGGACGTAGTGCTGGCTACACCGTTATTTATTGACAGGTTCAGCACATAGGCTTCACAGCCTTGCTGTCTCTTTCTAGGATAGTACTGAGGCCTCCCTCACATCGTAGCTGTCTCTTACTGCATAGTCCTGGGTACACGCAGTCTCTTATTTAACACTGCATAATTCCTGGGACAGAGCAATCTGTTATTAGGGCTTTGGGTTTATAGATATATCTTACCAGAACTGTGGGTACACAGCAGTCCATAAGTAGGTCAGTTCATAGTTGTGGGAACAGAGCAGTCTCTTACTAGGTCAGTCCATAGTTGTGGGAACCCAACAGTCTCGTTCTAGGAGTCGCCATAGTTACACTTATAATTATTATATAGACATTTTCTTGGACTCTCCTTATTTGTGGGTAAGTAGCAGTCTCTCACTGGGACAGTGCGGAGACCTGGCAGTGCAGATACCTTTAATGGATGGATAACTTTTACAGACCATACTCGTCTTCTGTAAGTACAAGATTTTTAAGCAATGTGACACCCAGAATGGCAAATGTACAAATGACTTTTTTCATTTTAGATAACTTGAGAGGGTTTAAACGCTGTCCTCAAATGTTTAAAATGCTGGACCTCATGGATCCCTATATTTTTTTTTTTTGTTTAAGCTGCAAAAAGATGGACCTTTGTTCCCACCTCACAATGCCCTGTCTGACATCCTTCCCAACCCATGGTCACATCCAACACTTGCTGATCCAAAGCCTACAGAACCCGGCGGCATACATGGACATACCAACCCATCTCCCCGACACATAAGGTGAGTCTCTATCCAGTATCTGTCAAGATCATCATTTCCCTCCTCGCTCACTATGCAAAACTCCATTAGTGTCACTTTAATATACCACTCACCGCTAATATTTATATTTTTGCAAACCTTTATAGCTGCTATTACATTTTATTTATTTATTTTTTATTTTCCCTTGACCACCTCTGTGTTTCCATCAGCAATAAAGACATAGACTTACCTGCAGACCCTGTGATGGAGCACCAAGAACAGGTGAGTGGTCCAATATCATATACAAGACCGTCATATATCACTCTGTTTGCATTCATGTATACCTGTGTGTGTATGTGTGGAATACATGATGTATTCAAGAATGGCATTATCCCTGTGAATTATGTTCCAGTATTCGTAATGATGACATCATTCTTGTGAATTATTTTCCAGAATTCATGAAGATGACATTATACCTGTGAATTATGGGTCTATCTGGCTATCCCCACTGTTTGTGCTAAATGCTCTGGGTACGGTTTGCACAACTCTATTGTAATAAAGTGCTGAACATACTGGGGACTTGATCTCTGGTGTCCCCAAAAGTGGGAGTCAGAATTCAAGACTGTCTTGCGTGAAATTGGATGGTTGGCAGATATACACCCAATGTTGTTTTTTTTTTTTTGAGAGCGTGCATGCAGATTCCATAATAATAAACAGTGAAAGGTTACAAACAATCTGTAAGTTTAACATAACATACACCTAGCAACATACTAACAGATAAGGATAGAGGGCCCTGCTCTTGCAAGCACACAGCCTATTTGGAGGTGGATACATAAACAATGTAATGCAACAATGCAGTGTTAATTTTGGCGCCAAATTTCTATTTAGTTTCAGTCATAGTCTTTTGACTAAAAAGACATTTTAGTTTTAGTAATATTTTAGTCATTTGAATTGTTTTAGTTTTAGTCTAGCTTTAGTCGACTAAATTTGAGTAGGTTTTACTCAACACTAATAAAATCTTATGTTTTTAGTTAAAGCCTCTACCTGTCTGTTTATCCCCTTCCACAGCCACTCTTTTTGTATCCTCCCAGCCCCTCTAGGTGTCTCTCTCCCAAGCCCTGCTCTGTTTCTTTTGCCCCTTCCACAGCTCCTCTGTGCAGTGTTAATTTTGGCAGCAAATGTCAATTTAGTTTTAGTCATAGTCTTTTGATTAAAAGGCCATTTTAGTTATAGTCGTATTTTAGTAATCTGAATTGTTTTAGCCGACTAAAATTGTTAGCCAACAAAATTAACACTGCAAAAGTGTGACTGTGAGGTGCAAATAATGATAGGTATTGGGGAATGGGTAAAAGAATCCAATTCCATCCAATAATTACGGGTACTATTTACTCGCTGGCAGTGGTTGCTCACTGTTAAAAAAACAACTACTATTGCACCAGGTGGGATCATGGGGGTGAGACTAGTGCTAGGTTCCCCCACACCATGCCATGTTTCAAACTACCCTATAGTTATAGCCCTATAGGCTTTATTTTGAATTATTTTTAAAAAAGATTTTAATATGGCGGCTGGCTAGCAAGGGCTGGCCAACTACAACATGGTTAATACTCGCTCCATCAAGGATTTTTAACTATTTGGCTGCTAACGTTGCAAATAGTTCCAATTTTAACCCCTTAAGGACCAAACTTCTGGAATAAAAGGGAATCATGACATGTCACACATGTCATTTGTCGTTAAGGGGTTAAAAGACTTATTTGGAGCCACTTGTGCAAGATCCAGACATTGGTAAATACTGTGTGAACAATGTCTTTTGATGTCCAAATGATCCTTTACGTAGCCGGATGGTTGTGCCCCATTCGGTACAGGACTTTAGTGAACAAGTCTGAGTAAGACTAAAAAATATGGCCACAGGAAAGTTTATGCAAGACATGGAGTTTGCAGCCCCCGTGTGGTCAACAGCTAGAATAGCACTATAGATCTCTTGTAACTAGGCATTTATGTACATTTTCCATGGACCTCCGGCTGCCTTTTCATGATCAATTTTCGGGAAATAATTTGTGGCCTGTATGACCCATTCCTAGGTAACTCTGATGTCAACTGCGCATCCTGTGAGAAGCTCTATAAAATCTATGCATCTATTTTAACAGGACCAGGTTTAGAGTTGCAGCTCAGGATATATGTTGTCTGTAATATATTTTTGGGGCTAAATGGACGGCAGGGCAGGATCCGTCCACAGCCTACAATGTACTTTGGTAAATTTAAATGACACCAAGTATACACTGTGACATCATACGAGTGTCCCTGATAAAACTGCCAGGTGTACGTTGAAAATACAGAAATACAATGGTATTTATGGAAACAATTTGAAAATATACTCTAAAATGTTCTCAAAATGTTCAACGGTGTGATTTAAAATCACCAATCATAAAAAAGTATATGATAGCCTGTCGTATCAATCCATTAGAAATTATTATTCAATGGTATTGCTGGCTATCTGTATGTGTGTTCAAAGATAAGCAGAATCCATCATTCTAAGTTCCAAAAATGCAGCAGATTTTAGTTCATAATTGTTGCCTTAATGCTCTTGATTTGGTAAATAAATTAATTCTTTATAATTGAATAAGTCTTTTTTTTTTAAAAATGCAGGAAATAATCTCAGTATTGAACCATTGAAGTCCAGATATCTGCTGCATTGAGCAATTACCAGGCCTTAGCCCTTCAGAGGCATGCAGATAATTAGGTTCTTAATGTATGTTGTTTTTTTCCAGAGATTTCCAATTACACTGTTTAATGGAATTAAATGTTTTCACTAACTCTTCTTTAAACCTTTTCTCCTCTAGGAAATAGCTAATTATCGGCTTGCTATGCAACGCATGGCGGATGACATCATTAGCCTGCGCCGTCAGATGAGTGGATTAGAAACCGAAAACAGCCGACTGCGCAGTGAACGTAGCATGTTGCAGGATGCAGGGCAGAGTCTCCTTAGTGATGCTGATATTGACGTCATGACCAAGGCGGAGCTCGCTGATCGACTTGGTAATGGGAATGGGGTTTATATGACACATATCAGTGTTCCTCTAATAATGATTGTCCATTCTGTCTGAGAACTCCTAGCATTACAATGCTATTGGCTTCTTTAAAATATTTTCCAGTCTTATATACTCCAAATGATGGTGTCTTTAAACGATGACTGTCAAAATGATGTGATACTGACAAAGTTGAAAAGGTTGATGATTACAATATAATCGCTGAATTCTCGTTTACAGTAACTCTCAAATACAAGTTGGCCAGTGAAACATCAGACCTCCGGGGAATGAGAGACAGAGTTCAGCAGCTACAAAATGAATTGGTCAGGGTAAGCACAATCAAAATACAAAAGTGAGCTTTACTCCCTAAACTGAAAATTGAGGAAAATCTACAGTCAAATTGCTATTTGTTGCCAAAATAGCCACTTTTTAAAAAATTGCAATATTTTTTCATTTTTATTTTTGCGACTCTGCTATTTTGGCCTACAATTTGCATTTCCCCTTGTCACAACTCCTTATTTTAATGTATAACCCAAAGTATGCTTCCTAAGTCTGAAACTACAAATGTCGGAAGATTCACAAACTTGAGAGGGATTAAAAAAGCATTAAAAATATTTACATTCTTAATGGGAGGGTTAAAAAAAATGGATATTCTCTTAAAAAAACAAAACAAAAAAACCCAATGAGGATAATAATGTCAGGGGACACACTAAAATACTGTAGGTGGTAAGCATTGAGGTACTGACAGTAAGAGGTAAGGGGGAGCTAAAACAAAGTGGGGGCCCTTCCAACATGGCACAATATTAAAGGAGAGAATCTAAAGATGAGCCAAGTAGATGGAATCTGAGACCAGGAGAAAGCAAAGAGGCGCTTGGGAAACTGAAAAATACAATTGAGGGAAGAAGGAAAAAACGTGAGATGATGAGTGTGATAAGAAACATGTAACAGCGCTACGGAATTTGCTGGCGCTATATTACTTAGTTACATAGCTGAAAAGAGACTTGCGTCCATCAATTTCAGCCTTCCTCACATTTGTTTTTTGCTGTTGATACAAAAGAAGGCAAAAAACCCAGTCTGAAGCGCTTCAAATTGTTCAACAAACTAGGAAAAAATTCCTTCTTGACCCCAAAATAGCAGTCAGATGTCTCCTTGGATCAAGCCGCTATTACCCCACTAAATAGAAATTATATCCCTGTATGTTATGTTTTTGCAAGTATGTATGAATAATGAATATATAAATAATAATGTAAGATACCATAATGAGACAGGGGGTGATATAAGAAATGTGAATAAACTGGAGAGTAATTAGCTGCTAGACTGGAGAGACTGGACAAGACATAGTAAGTGAAGACTTCAAGAGGGGAAAAAATAGATGGAAATAAGGCTGGGAGAAAAAAGAGGAGTGAAAACAAATAAAGGCTAGAGAAGCTTAAGGGGGGCCCGGTCTGTGGTTTCAAAGAGATCTTGAGGTTTCTAATGGTAGCCCTTAATGTAAGAGCAGATTGTTTGCACTATTTTGCTTTGTCTTCGCTAACAGTTTACCGATTCCTATCTCACAACGTATTTTATTAAAGAGGCATTGCTCATATCACACTGTGAAATAGCCAGTATAGCAGTATTGCAATTTTTAGCTCTCGTGTCTAATTGAATGCTCTGAACATCGGAGCTTACCTTGTATCCCCTCAATGTTATAATGTTATTACAGAGAAATGATCGCGAGAAGGAGCTTCTGCTTATAAAGAGAGCACACCAGCAACAGCAGGTCGTACTACAGCAGTACCACCAGAAGGCGAGCCGGAGCAGGACCTTACAAGACACTGTGCGCAAGCAGGAGAAGGTGAGGTCTAATAATGGGTAAAAAAACAAACAAACACCCAAATCTGCTTGTTCCATGATATAGATGGGGAGGACAATGGGGGTATGATAGAAGGTGGAGGGTGCATTCTTTAACTGCACATATAATGATGGCAGGAAGTCCATGCCAATAACAAACACACTGCTCCACAACAAGACACATGTTTGTTCATCCTATTCAGGTTATCGAGAAGATGGAGAAACTATTGGATGATAAATTGCGAGAGGAAAAAAGAAAACGAGTGCCAGGAGGAGAGAAAGGTGACCAATAACAGAGCGGGAGGTGACACTTATTGAATTTCAAATCATGGCCCAAATACATGGCCAGACTGAAACAAATCCTTTATGGCTTTAGTTCACATACCGTGGCTGATAACTGCAAACTTTAAATTCACTTTTATTCCTGACAATTGGCACTGTAGTGAATAACCGTCCCAGTGGACGTCCCATTTACAAAATAAAAGGGAAACTAACCAGTATTTCCCCAGAGGACCGAGAGACACTAATTAAAAGGATAGTTAGATGTGATAAATGAGAAGTGTCATTGGTAAAATTCATTAGAACATGCCTATTTTAAATATACCAACCGTGACACAAAGAAATTCAAGCCAAAACCTGGACAATTGTATTCTTAACATTTGAATATTGACGACGTGTTAATGAAAGAGAAAGTGATACTATAGAAAATAACACAAATACCATTTTGTTATATAATTTCATTCCATTTCTGTCCACCATTCTCATTCTGTTCTATTTCTTTCAGATGGCCGGGTAGACTTTCTGCAGAATGAGATCTATGCTACGTTACTAGGCGAGAACTCACGTCTGAGAGAGGAGCTTGAGGGTGCAAGACAACCAGTGATAACCGTGCAACAGAACGTCCCAGTGAGTGATTGGCTACATTGCACAGATTACACATATGTTATAATACACACTCCTCGTTATCCCCTATAAATACTCACTGTACCTCTAAGCACACACTATACCCGTTTACACCCCCGATACACACATGCACACTAAACCCCCTATACGCACCTCTACACACATGTGCACTACAACCCTTATATGCAGATACACACACAGTGCAACCCCTTGCAGTCCCAAGGGACATCACACTAACAAATGTGTTGTTTTTTTGGGAGGGGGTCATGTTTACCATTGGAGATGATATAACATGCAGCCTTTCTTGCCTTGCCCCTCTTAGAAGGCTTCTCTGCTTTTAACTGCCCAGGCTGAATTTTTGTCCTAGTACATCCTTGTTGAGGGATTATCGGATAGAGCAAAATCAATCCAGCAGTGATTAAAACTTACATGATTGCAGAAAATAAAAATATATTTGCAATTAATTTATACAGAAGACAATATGTATTCCTTTTTTTTTTTTCAGTCTCAGGAAACCTTTTCTGCCGCAGAGAAATTTTCCCTTCTCAGTAAACTGGAGAAATCTCAGGCTAGAGTGCAGAGCTTGGAACGAGAGGTGAGGGACAACATATGTTACTTGTGGTGTGCACTGTTCACACAATATGGCTCTCTGGAATCATTTTTTTCATACTATGATTGGTCCTCTGTAGCTGGAAGAGGCTGCACGGCGATGGGGTCGTGAGAAGCAGGACCTCCTGACTCGGCTCTCTGAACAGGAGATGGGGTTCAGCCGCACTCAAACCACAATCCTGCACCATTTTCCAACAGTAAGTATTGTACTCTGTGCTTAACTAATCATCTTGCATACAGTATGTTACAGGAAAACACAGAAAGTGCAGAATTCCCACCATAAACCAAGTAAAAGTTGACTAATTAGTTGTTTTTGCTTGCACGTCCATAAACGCAAAGTTATATATGACGTTTTAAAATCTATACCAATAGTTTTTTTTCCCTAAAGTCTTGGAGCCATATTTCACAATGCCAATTTCTAAATTCTTAGGGTAACTTTATTCTATTTTATTTTTCACTTTAAAAAAATTTTTTGACAATCTTTATTTGTATTTTCATAATAAGTGTTTGCATTTCTGTATTCAGACTCAGACAATTAAGCAGACACTTTGACATATGCCAATACATGTTGGCAGTCACACTCAATATTATAACGGATGGGGTAAACAAACAAAATTTGTAGCAGTAAATTAGTACTATGTCTCCGGACTCCAATCCAGTATCCTTCACATTTAATTTGAATCAATGATAATCAATGAATTATAGCTTCCTACATTTGTGTTGTATAAGACATTATCAAGGAGTGCAATAGTACACAAGTCAGACTGGACAATTAGTATAAAAAAAATAGAATGAGAGCCTCATTTTTCAATTAGCCAATAAACTTGTTTTGCCATGGATTGTCATCAAAACATTTAGTAATACAATTGCTGAAAAGAATACTTTTTTTTTTTTAATTTGGCATAACTGTAATTGCTGTCAGTTGAAAACTTGTCTCCTATTAAATGTTTCAAGCTCTATCAAGCTCTTCCTCAGAAGATAACACCGGATTCCTTTTATATTCCACATTGCCTCCACCAATTTACAGCACTTTGACTGTTGCCAAGTATAGATACATGTGCGTTGTAAATTCAGCCAAGCACGAGATCCGCGCTTAAAATACTGACCTTATGACAATAACGGTCTAGTCAATTATGTTCGAGATCTATTCAGCAGAACATTGGCTCCACTTGAGCGCGTTTTAGATTTTTGGATTTGGTGGCCACTCACTTGAAAGAGAAATTATTCTGTAGCCGGTACATGTGGATAAGATCGACTAGAGCTGTTCCAAAAAATGGGTCCAAGGACAACATGATGCCCCCACAGACGCAATCGTGTGGGTTACAATAGTGTATTATGTGCAGTGGGTTTGGAGTTATTTAGGATTTGAGTGGATCAGGGCTAGATGGTTTTTAGGGATTTGGGAGGCTAAGAGCTAGAGAGACTTAGTTTTAAGGGGGGTTTTGTTATAAGAGGACATCTGCTGTGGACTGTAATTACCATAACTCACAGCCAGGTAAAGGCTCTATCCTTGAGCTACCTAATCCGATCTACCCCTAATGTTACAAACTCACTCTAACCACTCAATTAACTTGTAACTTACGCTCGAGTCATCATTAAAAAAAACATGCCTTTGTTAAAGGACCACTATAGTGCCAGGAAAACATACTCGTTTTCCTGGCACTATAGTGCCCTGAGGGTGCCCCCACCCTCAGGGTCCCCCTCCCGCCCGGCTCTGAAAAGGGGTTAAACTTACCTTTTTCCAGCGCTGGGCGGAGAGCTCTCTGCCTCCTCTCCTCCTCCGATCCGCCCCGTCGGCTGAATGCGCACGCACGGCAAGAGCTGCGCGCGCATTCAGCCGGTCACATAGGAAAGCATTCTCAAAGCTTTCCTATGGACTCTGGCGTGCTCTCACTGTGAAAATCACAGTGAGAAGCACGCAAGCGCCTCTAGTGGCTGTCAATGAGACAGCCACTAGAGGGAATGGGGGAAGGCTTAACCCATTGATAAACATAGCAGTTTCTCTGAAACTCCTATGTTTATGAAAAAATGGGTTAACCCTAGAAGGACCTGGCACCCAGACCACTTCATTAAGCTGAAGTGGTCTGGGTGCCTCGAGTGGTCCTTTAATACAATTATTACCCTGTGTTTGCAGTCACAATGCCCACTAAAAAAATCTGCAAAAAATAACTAAACTTCACACACAAAAATAATACAGTTGACAGTAAAAATCAAGTGGTGTTACCACGGGTTTTAATGGCACGTACTAAATCTGGGCATTGGTAATTTTTCCACTTGTCATCAAACAGGTTGACCGGTTTGTGTGGAGGGTTTCTGTTGTATTCATATTTCTATCTGATATATATTATTTTTCTTTTCCTTATGCATTTCATAATTATCTTTAAATCAGTTTACCTGCTAATAAGATATATATTGCCTGAAAATGTCCACTGGAACCACGCATAATATATATTTCCAAAGAACACGTTGCTTTTCTTACAGACCAGGTTGAAACTGTGCTGATTCATTATGTCGATAATTCTTCTAAGGTTTATGAAATGTCATTACTTTTTCCTGCAAAATAATGAAGTATTGGAGTTTATTTTAATACTTTTTTTATTGATAGTGGAGAGCTTTGGCGAGTTCCAGGGACGAACTCCCAAAGGCTTGTTGCCACGAATTTCTGTTAGATAAAAGGTATTAAAAGAAACTGCAATATTTCATTAGCTTAGATCTACATTACTGAACTGATGCAGCAACTCAAATATAATCTTGTTTTTATTTTGCAGAAGGACCCGGATCTACCTTCCAAGAGACCTTCTAAACTGCATCCTTTAATCTGACATAATGGATGGTGCATAAAAACAACATTGGAAATAGAACATAAAGTTTCAAATAAAACAGACCTCAACATGATGATGTCATAGAAACATATCATGCAAACAGTGAATGTCTTGACTTTCCGTTTATTTTATAACCAAGCTGCATATATATACGTCTTAAAAAGAAAATACCGTACTGCAAAGGAATCTCAATCACGAAGAATGATTTTAGCTCAAAAATCCACTTTCAGCTTTTGCTCCAATTGTCACTAAATGGTACCTTATGATACAAACACCGCACTGTAATAAGTTGGGAGATGCACATTAACTTCCAAGATGTTGTAAAATATTCATTGGATCATACTATTTATGGATGCACAGAATTATTTCTTAATGTAAAAATAATGCGATTAAATAATCCTATTTTTATTTTACAGGTTCACTTTTTTTATTAAAATTAAATTTAAAGGAATTGTGGAATGCTTCCGAATAACCATGTTAAAGAAATTAATATAACTTAAAAATAGTGCTTAAGAAACATTATGTAGTAATTCCAGCACTTCTTTAAAGGCACTTCAAATTTAAAACATCACAAAGGCGTTTATACTTTAAAGGGACACTATAGTGTTAGTAATACAAACCTGTATTTCGAACGTTATAATGTTACCCTATCTATTTAGCAGTGGAGGCTCGTTGATGGGGCAGCACCCCCACCAGTTGTTATTGGAATAAAATATATAATTTTTTATTTTCTGTCAGTTGGGGGGGGGGTGGTCCACACCGGGTGCCACTCACTAGGGGGTTGCCCGGGGCAGACTGTGTTGGGTCCTGGGTCACTGACCGAAGACCCGACACCTTGCTCGATATGCCACCGGGTGAGATGCTCCTCCTGCACCTATCGCAGACACAGCTCTGCAGCTCTGCAGTGCTCTGCAGACACCATCACCTCCCTCTCCCTCTCACCATCACCCCCTCCCTCTCACCATCACCCACTCCCTTCCTCTCACCATCACCCCCTCCCTCTCATCATCACCCCCCTCCCTCTCACCATCACCCCCTCCCTCTCACCATCACCTCCCTTCCTCTCACCATCACCTCCCTTCCTCTCACCATCACCCCTCCTCTTCCACCACACACCATCCACCCCTCCCCTTCCTCTCACCATCACCCCCTCCATAACAATTACCCCTCCTCAAACCATCATCCCCTCCCTCTCACCCACCACACTCTCCCCTCTCATCATCCACCCCTACTCCCTCTCAATATCACTCCCTCCCACTCTCACCATCACCACACCTCTCATCATCAAGCCCCTACCTCTCACCATCACCCCTCCTTCCTCACCATCACTCCTTCCTCACCATCACCCTCCATCACAATATTACCCCCCCTCAAAACATCACCCCCTCCCTCTCACCACCACCCTTCCCTCTCACCATCACCCCACTCCCTCACACCATCACCCCCCTCCATCACTGTAGTACCTCCTCCTCAGGCCATTGCCCCTCCCTCTCATCATCCCCTCCTCCTCATCATCCCTCCTCCTTCTCACATCACCTCCTCCTTCTCACCATCACCCCTTCCATCACAGTATTACCCCCTCCTCAAACCATGACCTACCTCCCTCTCACCATCACCCCCTCCCTCTCACCATTATCCACTATAAAGCAAACACACTGCATTCACTACACAAACACACTGCATACACTATACAAACACACAGACACACACTTATACATGTGTATCTGTATGTGTGTCTGTATCTGTATCAGTGTGTCTGTATGTGTGTCTCAGTGTTTGTATCTGTGTATGACTGTGTTTCTATGTAACTGCATGTGTGTACCTATGTGTCTGTGTATGTGTGCCAGTGTGTGTATATGTGCATACATCTCAGCATTTCGCCTACACTACACACAAATACAACCCTGCATCCAAATGTCAACACTACATAAAACATACCACCATATTCAAAAACCACACTACAGAAAAATGCATGCCTGCATTCAAATGCCAATACGTACAAACACACCTGTACGTTCACTCACACATACTCCATACGAAAACATGCTTACATTCAAACACTGCTCGGTGCTAAATACATTTTAAGCTGGGGGGTGGGTGCCAAATATAGGATCCGCCCCGGTTGCCAAATGCTCCAGGTACGCCCCTGTAGAGGGAGTCTGATCAGTGTGATTGACACAGATCAGGCTCTGGTGTCAGGGTTCTCTCTCCTGCTGCTGCAGAATGATGCCCTGTTTCTGTCATTAATAGATGGGTCTGAAACTGAGATGGGAAGGTAAGAGGGGTGGGGGAAACTCCCCTAGCTGAGAGGCGTGCCCAACAATACAATCTGACCAAGTTTATGGTAAGTTTATAAATGTTTATTATTTAGTTTTCAAAGTTCTCTTGTTTTAAAAAATAATTGTCAGGTGATGCCTGTCATTCCAGGGCAGATACCATAGCTTTCTTTACCCCCAGCTACTTCCTATGCTTACACAAATAGAAACATAGAATGTGACACAGATAAGAACCATTCGGCCCATCTAGTCTGCCCAATTTTCTAAATACTTTCATTAGTTCCTGGCCTTATCTTATAGCTAGGATAGCCCTATGCCTATCCCACGTATGCTTAAACTCACTCACTGTGTTAACATCTACCACTTCATCTGGAAGGCTATTCCATGCATCCACTACCCTCTCAGTAAAGTAAAACTTCCTGATATTATTTTTAAACATTTGCCCTGCTAATTCAAGACTATGTCCTCTTGTTGTGGTAGTTTTTCTTCTTTTAAATATAGTCTCCTCCTTTACTGTGTTGATTCCCTTTATATATTTAAATGTTTCTATCATATCCCCCCTGTCTCGTCTTTCCTCCAAGCTATACATGTTAAGATCCTTTAACCTTTCCTTCTAAATGTAGATCTATTAAGGCAGGCACCGGTTCAACCATTGAGTTCATGCATTAATATTATTAAAAGAGGGCTACCAGACCCTACCTGTGGCAAGCACTGCTTTAACATTAGGTGCCTACCATCTTATAGCTCCACTGCAACCTGGCCCCTGAGCTCCCATTCAGGAGCATGAGAAGGAGCAGTGGAACTTATCAAATGTTTTTTATCCACTTACCTCCACCTGTGCATATTTTGTTATATCAAATGCAAGTGCCTTAAATGCAACTCCTTTAAGCTGCTTAGTTTAATTTATTAAGTTATTTTTTCTTATTTATTTTTATATGAGATCTATCTATCTGTCTTTGTTTCCTTTAGATAGATTGTATGACAGACCATGCGACTCAGAGTTAAAAAATTAAAAAGTCATCTCTTAGCGGCATCAATAGTCTTAACTCTTTATTACACCTATTGCAGCTGTAGTAGAGAATTTAGACACAAAATCAATCCTGAATAGGAATAAGAGCCTACATGGGTTTATTTCCTTTAAAATATTGGTACCGTCCACATACTTTGGAGGTAATAGTGCCATAAATACATATTCCTATTCATGAGTAAAAACACTTATTTAACAGGGAGTACTTAGTAAATCAAAGTTTCAAGTCTGGAACCTCAACAGCTTAAAATGTAACCAGCCATGACTGCTATTTAGTGTCCATTCCCCCCACCCCCCAATGAGGGTTTAAAAGTTTGGTTTTAACTTACCTGTATTCCCTCGCCCTGCTGGTTTTGCTGCATCTGCCCTGCCCCACCACCCTGGTTGAGATCATCAAGACCATTATCAGCCAATCTAAAGCTTCCCAAAATGCACTAACAATGCTTGCTTCGTTATACCTCCAGTGGCTGTCTTCATGAGGAACGTAGTCATACAGTTGCTGTATCTACTAAACGTTTTGGATTGCTGCTTTAAAACGATATGGCCACTGTACCCAGACCGCTCCATTGAGACGACGTGTTCTGGGTGCCTTTAGTGGCCCTTTAAACACCAAACTGCAAAATTCAGGCTACAATTGAACATGACTTGGAGTTGGACATCAATAAATACAGCACTATTTTATGTGTCTCGTGAAGATAATTGATACAACATAATTCCGGGAGTACATTTGTACTGCAGTATGTGAGCAACTGAACTACAACTACTAGATACTACTAATGTGTCCATAAACTACCGCACATGGGAAGTGCAACAGAAAGTATAGTACATATGAGTCATTTCTGCTTTGATAAGAGCGTATTTAAAATTTTTTACCTGTAGCTAAAAGAAGCAAGGTGAATTGTTAGTGTAGGACTCACCTAAGAAGTTTTGCCTTGACCTGGCAGGTGAGCCTACCATTGGAGAGATACTAAAAAATACGAGTCATTTCTGCTTTGATAAGAGCGTATTGAAAATCCTGCACAGCCTGAATTTTGGCAGGAAAAGCAGGAATTCTTTTTTTTATTTGCACATTTTAATGCAATTTGTATATAATAAATTTTTAAAAGATGAGGTCAACTCCAGGGAATGTCCCTTTAAATGTAACAGTTTAGTTTAGTAGGCAGACTGTTACATCGTTTGCCATGAAAAGATAAAAAGAAAACAGAAGTTAAGAAAAAAAGTTACTTGAGCAGTATCCCAAATCCCTATGCACATTTAAATAACTGGATGTTAATATTGCGTTTGTATTTGCTTTTATCACATAGCCATGGTACAGTGTTGCCGCCCACCTCATGTGTTCCCTATAAAAAGTTAATAACTGTGTATACAAATACCCCTCTCTGTCTCATTAGAGATTTTTTACCTGAAGCTAAAAGAAGCAAGGTAAATTGTTAGTGTAGGACTCACCAAGAGGTTTGCCTTGATGTGGGAGGTGAGCTTACACTTAAAGGGATTCCCCAGTGCCAGGAAAACATATCCGTTTCCTGGAACTGCAGGACCCTCTAGTGCACCTCCCTTCCAACCCCCATCACAAGTTGCTGAATGGGTTAAAACCCCTTCAGTGACTTACCGATGTCAGGCTCCGCCTACGCTCCGGCTGACGTCGGCGTGGGAGACCTAATGCGCATGCGCAGCAATGGCCGTGCACGTGCATTAGACCTCCCCATAGGAAAGCATTATACAATACTTTCCTATGGAGATTTTGGCGATGCTGGAGGTCCTCACATAGCATGAGGACGTCCAGCGTCGTTTTATACCACTTTCCGTGTTCTATGAACACGGAAGTCTCCTCTAGTGGCTGTCTAATAGACAGCCACTAGAGGAGGACTTAACCCTGCCAGGTAAATATTGCAGTTTATGAAAACTGCAATAATTACACTTGCAGGGTTAAGGGTAGTGGGAGTTGGCGACCAGACCACTCCAATGGTCAGAAGTGGTCTGGGTGCCTGGAGTGTCCCTTTAAATGGCCAGTGCAGTGATACTAAAAAACCTCCAATTATTTAAATGTGCATAGGGATTTTGGATAGTGTGAAAGCAACCTTTTTCTTTGGTTTCTATTGTATGTATCAGGGCTAATGTGTACTATAGTCACGGCTGCCGCCCACGAGTAGTGGGAGTTTAAGCGCAGGGCTAAATTTTGTATGTAAATGAAAAAAGTAAGCCTCATTTTCTTATTCACTCTGGTTATTCACTAAAGTGTGAAATAACGAAAATTCAAAGTACTTTTCAAATTGTGTGTTAAAATAACCAACTTTAAAACATGTCCTAGTCAGCTATGGTTTCACACTAATAATATTTCCTGTTAGATTAAATATTATTATTATTGCTATCTTAAAGGGACTTTAGCCCAAATGTTGGCAAAAATTGGCCCAAACATAAAGTTCGGCTTATTTTTTTGGAAAATGAGAATAAACATGCATAATGACTCCTGCGGTAAACTGTTCAAAGGGTTCACTTGTGGTAAATCATCATTAAAGTTCCTTTAACACATCATTCGGAAGCAGTATATACGTTGCTTTTTTATCAGAATGTCCAGCTGTCAGCATTTTCTCCATTGTTTCTCTTCAAGGAAGTGGCATGTCTGCAGAATAGCATCTGAGAAATGCAATCCATTTTATATCAAAATGATCTGTCCTTAAAAAGGTGTCCAGCAAATTTACATATAAATGAGCAGACATGGGTGAAGGAAACAGAAGAAGATCCCAAAATATTTCCCTCTACATTTTCAGTTGAGAGGTTTTAGAGTCAGGTGAATGGGTTTTGATGGGAAAATAATGAGATTAAAAGTTGTCCCCACTTCAGACATGCGATTTGTCTCTACCTTAAAATTTTCCAGAATCTGGGGGGGAAAAAATTAAAATGAGGTCAATAATAATGTCAAGCTGTGCATTACATGAATGTAAATCGCCAAAGATATGGCCAACTTAGGTTTTTATATGATCTCATTCTGCATTTATTCTTGCAAATAACTAACCATTTTTAAACCAAAGTTCACTATTTCTTCTCCCTTACAGGCATTGCGTTCAAATCCCTCCCTCCCACTATGTACTCTGTCCCGCCTCCCCTTTTTGCCCTCATTACAAGCTTTGAGACGGCTAAATGGACAAATCACAGCCTTCTCTATGAGGAGCCTGTAAGATGTCTGCGCAAGGCCCCAGTGATGTCGTGGGATGAGGAAAATGTGGGCGCTGGATTGAAGGTGAGTAAAATCCTTTTATTGCAGGTGGCAGGGCAAATGGAGAGGGTGGGGGGCTTCTCCAGAGTGCTCTATATTACACCGGGAAGGTACCCCCCTCCAAAAAGATTGGAGTAACCCTTTAAGGATAATTAAAGTCTATTTATTGGTAAATACGTTTAATAAGCTGCATAGAGCTTAGATAGACTACTATAAGTTACTGGGAGAGGAAAATGGCTGCAAGAACAACACTTCTACCCTATCCAGTGGAAAGTATATACTAAGCTGTATTTAGTATTTAAGTATTTTGTTTTGTTTCATAGCCATCTTATCTGGTACATGTATTTTACATTATAACACTTCAATGGAATTTTTTTTTTTAAATATATTTTTTAACAATTTTGCAGTTATGCCCAATAAAAACATGTGTGCATTTAATGATACATTTTCAGTTTGCAAAAGTTGCAGTTGTCTTGTTGGCTGCCTTAAAGGACCACTCTAGGCACCCAGACCACTTCAGCTTAATGAAGTGGTCTGGGTGCCAGGTCCAGCTAGGGTTAACCCATTTTTTTCATAAACATAGCAGTTTCAGAGAAACTGCTATGTTTATGAATGGGTTAAGCTTTCCCCTATTTCCTCTAGCGGCTGTCTCATTGACAGCCGC